ACTCCCCCTTTCCCCCTGGGGGCAAGACTCATGTGGCCAGGCATGAGGCTGGCAGCAGGCTCCCAGGCACATAGAGGGGCTGGCTGCTGTGGCCATGTGACACACCCTCCCGCTGCATGTGCTTGCATGTGCACAGATTGCAGCAGCATATGCTAGCCTAGCAGCCGGTGCAACAGTGTGCCCCCACCCCCTTTGCAGCCACCTCCCCCACCGTGTGTGTGTGCACGCACATGTGCGCCAACATACCTGAGGTTCCCTCCCAAGCCTCTTCGGAGGCCTGGGAGACGTCCAGGCTGGCAGGGACTGGCTCCTGGGACAGGGTGACGGTGCCACTGTCCTGCTCATCCTCCTGCCAATGTCCTGCTCATCCTCCTCCTCCTCTGGTGGCTGGACCTGCCCCACCATCTCGGGGACAGGCTCCGGGCACTGAAGGATGGGCTGCTCCAGGCCGGAGTCCACCACAATGGAGGGGGAAGAAGGTTCTCCCCCCAGCAAGCTTGTGGTCGAGCTCCTGGCCTTCATGTATCCCTGACGGAGCTCCTTTACCTTAGCCCAGACTTGCTCCATGGTCTGGGCAGGGTGACCTCACGCCACCAGGGATCCAGCCATGCAGGAGTAGATTGCGGCACTTTGCCTGGGGGTCCTGTAGGGAGTCCTCCTCACTCCACAACTCCGGCAGGGTTTTTTTTTCTGGCCTGCTGCAGGTGGGGGCACGCCTCTTGGTCCCCCTCGCGGGGTCCTGTGACCCCTGTGGCTGGTCCATTGAAGGGCCAGGGTGGTCTCGGGGATCTTGCTCTGAGGACATTGGTGGATGCAGCAGAGCGGCATCCTGAAGAATCCTGCTTCCTGCCAGCTTGCAGCTACAAGGCTTGTGCAGGGTGCCAGCAGACAAGAACAACAGGGTTCTGATTGTATTGGCCGGAGTGACCCAGCTGCCACCATTTTTTCCCCCTGGAGGCCAATTGTTGCGCAAACCCCACTCTGGAGCGTCCACACTTGCCTTTTTGCACAATAGCTTAGCGCTAAAAGCAGTTATGCCTCAGAAAAAGAGGTTTACCTATGGCAGAAAAAGCCCTCTGTTCTGCTGTTTAACTGCCCATTTCATTACGCAGGAGATCATTTGAGGTGTGGACACTCCGCAGGTTTTTGCACAAAAACCTTGTAGTGCAGATGTAGACTAAGACAGGGGAGCCCAAACTTTTTGACACGGGGACCAGTAAATCCATTCACGAGCTTTCAGAGGACCGGTAACATTCATTTGCATATTTGCATATTCATTAAGCAAATGACTAATATGCAAATACATTGGTTTTGGTCCTCCCAAAGCCTCCACGGCCAGCTTTAGAAAAGCTTTTCATGTGGCCACCCACAATATTCTTACCAGTTAGTTAAGGGAATATGGATGGGAAAAATGGACTGTGATCCAATAAAATCCTGCACCCCCACATCGTGTAGTAAAAGGGGCTCATTTCTTTTCAGAAAGCCGACCCCATCTTTGGAATCTTTTAATCCATATTCTCCTCCGGATGGTGAACGCCCCAGGCTCTCTCCATTCTGACACAGTGTAGAGCCTGTAAACCTCACTGTCAGCAGAGGGGATATTTAAAAGGCCCTGCTTTTACATTTCTATTCAGGGTCTGCGTGCCCCATAACTGTCCCATTCCCCACTGGCTGAATCTCTCCCCTCTCCCCTCACTTTCCCTCCCTGCCCTGGGCCAGCCCTGCTGTCCCCGCCAGCCGATTCTCACCCGATCTCTCCTGGCAAGCCCTGCTGCCCCCGGCCGGTTCCCCTGCCAGCCCCACAATCTCCCCCAGCCAGCCTCACTGCCCCCGCCAGCCCTGCTACCTCGGCCAGCCCCACTGCTCCCGCTCCCCTGGCCAGCCCTGCTTCTGCCAGCCAGTCCCCCCGCCCAGCCAGTCCTGCTTCCACCGGCCAGCTCCCCTCCCTATCTCCTCTGGGCAGCTCCACTGCCCCGACCCTACTTCCCTGCAGCCCATATCCAACCCCTCACCCCCCGCACAGACAGCAATAAGAGATCACCTGGTAACCCTCACTATGCCTCTGCCGGGAGCCTGAAACATACGGCTGCATCCGCCCAGCCCAGCAACCACGCTGGGGCCTGGTATTTTTTCCCCGCGGCCTGATATCGGGCCATGGCCCATAGTTTGGGAAACGCTAGCCTAAGAGAATATGCAAAATGTGGACCTCAGACCACCAGGGGTCATCCCTTCAGCCTGGGCTGGAACAAGTCAGAACAGTGTTCTGCCACTTTTGCCCCATGGAGGTGTCATTTTTTCCTCAAAATGGCATCCTACACTGTAGTATTGTGACTTCGCATGTACTGGTCAAGCTGGCAAGTGTATTCCCACATTGGCGGGGCATTTGGTTAGTATAAGAACTTGCCCATTCAAGACAAAAAACTCTCTGTGAGGGTTTAGAAAGCGCCAAGAGTTACCACACTTTTACAAGACAGGTAAGTAATGCCCCCCTTTAGAGAAAACAGAAATACAGATAAAGTGCCTGATGAATGAATAAGAGTAACCGAAACTTGTGTATAAAAAATGAAGGGAGTCTGGGCCAGTAAGTGAGATGCCAAAGGGGTCCTTGTCAGTACAAAGTTTTAGAAGCTTTGCAATAAGATTTTAATGTGGGCTAATACAGGTAAATATTACATCTTTTTCCTAGTTAATCATAGAATCATAGAATACTAGGACTGGAAGGGACCTCAAGAGTTCATCAAGTCCAGTCCCCTGCCCCCATGGCAGGACCAAATACTGTCTAGACCATCCCTGATAGACATTTATCTAACCTACTCTTAAATATCTCCAGAGATGGGGATTCCACAACCTCCCTGGGCAATTTATTCCAGTGTCTGACTACCCTGACAGTTAGGAACTTTTTCCTAATGTCCAACCTAAACCTCCCTTGCTGCAGTTTAAGCCCATTGTTTCTTGTTCTATCCTCAGAAGCCAAGATGAACAAGTTTTCTCCCTCCTCCTTATGACACCCTTTTAGATACCTGAAAACGGCTATCGTGTCCCCCCTCAGTCTTCTCTTTTCTAAACTAAACAAACCCAATTCTTTCAGCCTTCCTTCATAGGTCATGTTCCCTAGACCTTTAATCATTCTTGTTGCTCTTCTCTGGACCCTCGCCAATTTCTCCACATCTTTCTTGAAATGCGGTGCCCAGAACTGGACACAATACTCCAACTGAGGCCTAACCATCGCAGAGTAGAGTGGAAGAATGACTTCTCGTCTCTTGCTCGCAACACATCCCAGAATCATGTTTGCTTTTTTTGCAACAGCATCACACTGCCGACTCATATTCAGCTTGTGGTCCACTATAGCCCCTAGATCTCTTTCTGCCGTACTCCTTCCTAGACAGTCACTTTCCATTCTGTATGTCTGAATACCAATCGGGGGGCAGTTCCGGGAACGGATGACCCGCCCAGAAGTGGGTCGTGTGACCCCTCTAAGAACTCACCCTGCCTCCCTCTACCAATCAGGAGGGTTTTTTTCCCTGTAGGACCGCCCCACAAATCGCTTTGACCATTCGGGGGGTGCAGTTCTGGGACCCGTTGACCAGACCGGAAGCTGGTCGTGTGACCCCTCTAAGAGCTTCCCGTGACACCCTCTGTCAATCAGAGCATAGCACTTCCCCATAAGTTCTAGCGCCACACAAAAGAGGCCATCTTGTTCCAAGATACAGCTAGGACACCGCAGCGGCACGCCCACGCTGTCTGAGCACGTTCCGCTCAAGCAGAGGCGGCAACAATACCTGCAAGAGTGGTCATGACTGTATACTGTGTGGCAAAACTCACAATAATTTTTCGCTCCGAACAACTTTTTCACATCCAGAACCCCATAGTAATGCTCATCTCCGCCAAGCGCCGCGCGCCCGGGGCCGGCGCTCCCCCCGCCAAGCGCCCGGTGCCAGGCCAGCCCCGAGCACCTGGCGGGCGCATGGAAATGCCCCCGCGGGCACCGTGTTGGGGACCACGGTTCTATGCCAATATCTAAATCGTTGATGAAGATATTGAACAGAGCCGGTCCCAAAACAGACCCCTGTGAATATAAAGCCACAGATTTGAAGGACCTCCAATGTCCATAAACTTCAGATTATCCCACTTGAGCATGAAAGCAGGAGTGAGCCCTTTGGGCCTGACTCATTATTGCCTTGTGCAGGCATTTACACTTGTGCAAAAGCAAAGCAAAGCAAAGCAACATGAAACCCTACCCATCTGGTTTAGTGGCACTGTACCCCCAGTTTGCACAACACAAGTTGCAGAAGAGGAATGAATCAGGGGCACAAGATATCAGTACCAAAACACACCTCTTTCCGGGATGATTGAAAGGTCGGACTGATTTCCACTCTGAACCAAGAGACTATGCGGTCTGCTCCTCCCAGGAAAAAATTTCTTCACCTCCTGGTACGAGTTGAGTAAGATGCTGGCAGCTCCACAAGAACAGTGTTGCAGAAAATACTCCTACACCAGACAAGGAGAAGATATGCAGGCTGTTACATTTCAGTGGCCCAAGGTAACTGGAGCAGGAAGATATCTTGGACAAATTGTAAGCATTCCAAACTAAAGGATGTGCCAGGTTACTGCAAGACCTGTCAGGATCCAGATACATGTGCATAACTCTTTCTAAATGGCCTAGAAGTAAGGAGCCCAGCTGAAGCTAAGTTTCTTTGTAGCATGGAATTCTGTACTACAATGGTTTAGAATAGTTTCAAGAATCAGCCCCCTGTTGACATGCTCCCTAGGAATCCAGCAGAAAAATAAGCTTTAACTAGACTTTTTCACAGTTATTTTAAGCCACTGTAAAGTTTTGGCTCCTTCTAGTTTTCTAGTAACACCATGCAATGCAGTATTCCAGGATATCACAGAGTTCTAGTGAAATATACCAGAGGAGGAATGGTCTCAGCACATCCCAAAATGCTGCATTCTGATTAAAAATGAATCAGAATCAACCCTCCTGATCAAAAACAGCCCTAAACCTTAGAAAGTTTTTAATCCAATTTTGATTGTGAGCAAAATGGGTCAAATCAAATACAAACAATCCAATATTCTGGATCCCCCAAGTTTTGTGGTTTAATCCAATCTGTAGCTGTGGAGAAAATCTCTTTAGTAACCTCAAAAAAACCACAGAATTTAGATTTTGTGAAGGCCAAAATGAATTTTAAAACAGCTTAGATAAAAGTTACTCATGCTGTCTCCCAACATTTCTGGGTATCACTGTATTCCTAGCTTGGTTTTGTAGTTCATTTTGAAGTTGGATGTCTGTTTTTGACTTGTGATAAATTCCAAAGTGTTTTTAGAAAGTAAAGATGTTATTTTCTAAAGTGTCTTTTGTTTATGGTGGCTCTGGTTTTAGATGCCCAAACTGATGCATTTAAATTCATTAGGCCACATCTTCAGTTGGTGCATTTTTTGGGGTATCTCTTCCAAAAAAGGAGTTGAAGTCACATTTCCAAATTCGTGCATGCTCAGGTAAAACACTTTGTGCGTAAATAAACATAACCCACTATAACGGTGGCTCACAATTAAAGATAACATTATTTCTGTATGAACATGCACAAACAATATTATCTTGTATTTTTATAGAACAGCTGCCACAGGCAGATTAAGTGTTGCTAAATAAATATGCTGTATGTGATATTCAGTTACTTGCCAAACAAATGCCATCTTGATTTCTTGTAACTGATTCTATGAAGTTTCATGTATCAGTTCACCTCAGCAGCATGTGCTATGGATAGTCCTTGGACATATCTACCCTAAGCACTACTTGTAGCTGCTCAGGGGATGAGATCTGCTAAGAGTATAGGAGAACATGGTGAGGTAACATTCTGACTGCCCTTTGAGACTGCAATGGGAGATATAGCTCTTTTTCTTCAAGAGCCCATGTTTCTTCTAACTAGTCTGTTGCTTTTTAATCTCTTGGTACTTTCCAAAGGGTTAAAAAGACTCTCTGGGAAGGAAGAGCTTAGAAGCCTTATGATAAACAGGGGACTTTCCTATCAGATTGCTTGTGCACTTAGGGCCCAATCCTGTGAGCTGCTGAGCACCCTCAACTCCCAGCAGAACCTCCACTAAAATAAATCAGCAGAGTTCTGCTGACTTCAATAGGCTATCGGTCCCTACGTCAGTGGGGTGCTTTAGAAAATGCTACCATTAATCTGGTCCAGATCCTCCAAGGGTTTTGTGTTAGTTGCCTGAATAGCTTTGAGGATCTGGACCTTTTGCAGTTGGGGATACTAATATTTCATACCTCACAGAGGGGTTGTGAAGATTAAACATTGAGGATGGTGAGATGATATGGAGGTGGGCCTTAAATACCAAGGGCAGGTAATTAGTTAATTTTTGTGAAGTGCTTTGAAAATGCACAAAGTTCAATATTACTGTTGTGAGCTAGATACCCCCGTGGTGGATGCATTACGTTTGCAGACAGGGATATTCTGTCAAGGGATCTTTGTAATACCAAATGCATCCAGATTAAAAAGGTAGGGCCAGCTCCTCAGCTAGTATAAATCAGGGTAGCTCTCTTAATGTCCATGTAGAGCCTATGCTGGAGATTTGGTCCCGGTTATGCAAATGGTAAGGGTTGCTACAAACAATGACTCACAATTTAAAGCTTTCCGGAAATGTGCTAACAATTCCCAGGCCCTGTGTAGGAGGAAACGTTGCTCAGAGAAGGAGAGTCAGGCACAAGGAGATTACTTGATGTACCATTTTGCTGCCTAACTTGCAATTCCACATTGGCTTTGTTTCTGAATGGGGGTGAACCACTTATTCCAGATGCAATGGGAGAGGAGCACGTGCAGGGGTGGAAAAATGTAGTCAGCAGAACAAAGGAATTTCCCCCCATGAAAACAAATTGCTGAGTGCTGAGTCTGACAACTCTGATATTGTGTTGATGGTGACAGGTTAAAAAAAAATGGTGGAAGGATTATTGTATGGTTAAAGCATGGGACTGGACGTCAGAAGACCTGGGTGGCTCTGTTCCCAGGTCTCTCTGCCTTCCTTCTCTCTGCCTCTGTTTTCTCTTTTTAAAGTGGGGAAGATAAAGCTAACCTGCCTCTCAGAGGAGCTGTGAAGCTTAAGAGCATAAGAATATAAGAATGGCTATACTGTGTAAAACCAAAGGTTCATCTAGCACAGTGCCGTCTTTCAACAGTGCACAAAGTTTAATGTATTTATCATCATCAGAGAGCAGTAGCCAGCAATACAGCTGGTTGAAAAATAAAGTTAAAGAAATATGTCTTGGGTGAATGGACCATTAGCTGGCTAGATCATCAGGCATAATGAGTGACAATGTCTAATTGGCAGCCAATATCAAGTGGAATACCAAAGGGGTCAGTCTCTGGGCTTGTTTTGTTCAGCATCTTCATTAATGATCTGGATGATGCGATCCTGGAGGATAAGGATAGGGTCCACAGTGACTGAGAAAAATTGCAGGATTGGGACAAAAGAAATCAGATGAAGTTCAACAAAGACAAGAATCCCAAGCATTGCTACAGACTGGGGACCAACTGGCTAAGCAGCAATTCTGCAGAAAAGGACCTGAGAATTACAGTGAACGAGAAGCTAGATATGAGTCAACTGTGTGCCCTTGTTGCCAAAGCTAATAGCATATTGGGTTGCATTACAGGAACACTGCCGGCAGATTGAGGGAAGTGATTATTCCTCTCTATTCAGCAACTGGTGAGGTCACATCTGAAGTACTGCATCCAGTTTTGGGGCCCCCACTATAGAAAAGATGCGGATAAATTGGATAGAGACCAGCAGAGGGCAATGAACATGATCAGGGGACTGGGGCACATGACATAAGAAAAGGGCAAGAGAACTGGACTTACTTCATCTGCAGAAGGGAAGAGTGACGGGGGAAGTGAGAGCAGCCTTCAACTACCTGAAGGGGGGGGTTCAAAGAGAATGAAGCCACGCTGTTCTCAGTGATGGCAGATGATAGAACGAGGAGCAATGGTTTCAAGTTGCAGTAGGAGAGGTCTAGGTTGGATATTAGGAAAAATTATTTTGCGGGGAAGATGGTGAAGCCTTGGAATGGATTACCATCGGAGCTTTTTACGGCCAGGCTTGACAAAGCCTTGGCTGGGGTGATTTATTTGCGGTTGAGCCTGCTTTGAGCAAAGAGCTGGGCTAGATGAGCTCCTGAGATCTCTTCCTACCCTAATCTTATATGACTATGAAATGATGTCCCCCCACCAGGCCTAAAAAAAGAACATATTTCATTTTTGTTTAGCATCCAGAACACCAAAAATATCTTATTTATAGCAGCCAAAAACCAAAATGTTTGGGTTTAAACCCAAACATTTGGGAGTAGGTTGTTTGGAGATGGGGAGTTAGATGACAGCCCAAACATTTTTGACAAAAAAAAAATCTCTGTTTAGTCAAAAAGCCATTTGCCCCCCACCCCCCAAAATAGAAGTTTGAACAAAGCTTTTTCAATTAGCTTTTATCATCATCATCAACAACCATGGGCTCAACACCCGTTGGTGTCCAATGCTTCCCTCACTATTTCCTTCCATCTTTCCCTGTCCGATGCGGAGTGGCTTAGTTTCTGTAGACTAGCTCCGCACCAATCTACTATATCAATCAGATTTCATTCATATTCTTGTTTTACGATCAGCACATCAACACTCATCTGACCAACCCACCTCCTTTATCCAGGGTCGGGACTGGCATAAAGCTTTGCCAAAGTAGTATTATCCTTAAGTCAATAATGGAAAACCCCAATAACTGCAATTGGATGCAGGGGGCTAGACATCTATGGATTCTGGAGGTTCAGTCTATATAAATGTCCCAAAGCTAGGATGTTTCTGCAAAACTGAGCTGAAGTCTCATGAGAATGTAGGAACACTTGAGAAAGATTTCTACTACCTCTTGCTAAGAATGGGGCTGCAGACTGCTTCTCCCTTGGTATCTGTGGTATTTCTGGTGTTGGTCCAGATGCCTTTAATCATAATATGATCATGGAACAGCATCAAAATAATAGATTGGTTTCATTATCTGGAAGGCAGCCATGTATTCAATTATCCCTAAACAAGAGTTCCAGGAAAATGCCAATGCTATTGCCCCTACCTCACCCCTGCTCAATGAAAGAAATCAAATCCAAGCCACAAAACAGTGAGGTGCAAGGGGAAGCAGGGGGCAAATCGAGAACAAAATGAGAACAAAAGACAACAAATAAAAGCATCGAAGGATGAGCTGAATTCTGGACAAGGTACAGTGCTGGTGCAAAGGCTCTGGCAGCTGGTCCCCTCCATCACCCATATTCTCCCTTTAGGACTGGCACCCAATTACTGCCACCATCCCCCAATATTAAACCAGCTTTGGGTGAAACTTAGTGAGCTGCATCCCCTGCTTTGGGATTTTGTACCCTTGTGCTAAGGATGAGGTTGAGAGCATTTTCACTTAGCCCAGACAGCACCTGACCACCTCTTCTTACTTGCTTTATCTGGCTCATCTTCTGCTCCTTCTGCAAACTGCACACTTGCTTTTGGAGTCGCAGGTTATGTTCTTGCAGTTGCCCGATTTTCTCTATCAGCTGACAGATGTGTTCTAGATACCCCAGGCCAGAGCTGAGAGCCTTGGTGTTCCCTTGGTTCACCTGCAATGACAATACCATTTGGAGCACAGATAAACCATGGCAAAAGCATTCAGAGCAGCTGGTGCCATCCGTCCCTTATTACTAATTTACAAGGCACCAAAAATAAACTGGGCAGTGTGGTTAGAATGAGAACTAGCCCAGGCCTTTATTCCAACTCTAAACCTTATATTTGAGATTAGAAAAAAATCTGTTTGGTTCACTTATTTTAATCCATGCTGTACCCCCATCTAAATCCAGTCAGAACCAGCAGCATTAAGGTTTTCATAGCTCCTTACAAAATCTCTGTAAAATTAAATATCACCCTATGGTAGCCCCAAGATGTTGTGTCTTACGGCATTTCTAACATAGACCCCATCATTTGATATGTAGAATTAAGTTTATGTTTTCCAAGTGTGAGTAGGGAGGTCTGTTTGTGGGGTGCTATGGCATAGGGGTAAACAAGGACACAAGGTTAAAGGTGTCAGAGAACCAGGCTCTGAGGCTTCGTCTCCACTGCAGGGTTTTTGTGCAAGAAGCCTTTTGTGGAAGAGATCTTCCACAAAAACATCTTGTGCAAAAGCGTGTCCAGACCTCAAAGCGCATTGCAAAAGCGATGTGCTTTTGTACAAGACAGTGTCCACACTGCATGGACATTCTTGGACAAGAAAGCTCTGATGGCCATTCACAGAATGGCCATCAGAGCACCTGTGCTTTTGCCAATAGGGGTTTCTTGCACAAAAACCCCTCTGGAGTGTCCACACCTGCCTTTTTGCGCAAGAGCTGTAGCACAAAAAGGAGTTATTCCTCGTGGGGAGAGGAATAACTCTACTGGCAAAAGCCGTCTGTTCTGCCGATTTACTTGCACAAAAATGCACTTGAAATATGGACGCTCTGCCGGTTTTTGCGCAAAACCAGCCTCTTTTGCGCAAAAACCGTTTAGTGTAGACATAGCCTCATGAAGCTGCCTTTTTGCGCAAGAGCTGTAGCACAAAAAGGAGTTATTCCTCGTGGGGAGAGGAATAACTCTACTGGCAAAAGCCGTCTGTTCTGCCGATTTACTTGCACAAAAATGCACTTGAAATATGGACGCTCTGCCGGTTTTTGCGCAAAACCAGCCTCTTTTGCGCAAAAACCGTTTAGTGTAGACATAGCCTCATGAAGGGAA